AAGAGATGAAACTTCATAGAAGTGATAGTTCAGTAATCTGCACAACAAAGGTAAATAAATTTGACCGTTAATAAGATAGTTTGGTAACAAGGATATAAAATAAGCGGCAAAAGCTCCGCACAAACTACTGTTTTCCCATTGGAAACAAGTTTTGTTATAAGAAAACAAAATAGTTTGTTGACCCGTCATTGAACTATATTTTAATACAAATTTTGTAAACCAATAAAATTCATGGTTATCGGCTGTCCATTCGTAAGGAAAGTGATTAGTTTGTCGTATGTAAGAACTTATTTCAATCTCATTATAATTAATGTTTAGAGTGTTTATTTGTATGTTAGTTTGTATTTCTTCTACAGATTCAAACAAATGTCTATTGCTTCTTAAAAAAAGTGGAATTTGTTTTAAACAGCTTTCAGTACCTAAACTGTCAAAACAAAAAAAATGATTAGCGTCTAATTTGACTAAAAGTCTCCAATGTTCTCCATTTTGTTTGATAGTTTCGTTATTATAAATAAAAAAAGAACCATTTTTTACCATTCGCCTAATAATGTTTACGTGCGTTTGAGTTTGACTCAATTCGTCAAAAGCGTAAACACCTATAAAATAATCTTTCAAAAAGGGTTCATTTATAAAATAACTAGACAAAGATTCGTTAGTACACATTTATTCTTCTTTTTCTAAACTAAAAAAACTTGAAATAAATAATGTTACAATAGCGTGTAAAATATTAACAAATAATGTTTTTTTATCGGACGTGCCGTCTTTTATGATTCCTTCAATGTTTCTTTTAACAGATTTCTTTTTTAAAACTCCATCTAGTTTTTTTATGATGGTTGAAGCGGTAGGTAATATTTTTGCTGTAAAAGTATCGATGAATCCGTCTGTTTGATCACCTTCAAATGGAACAATAGGTTTAATATCTCTTTCGAGTAAAAAAACTTTAAGTTTAGATTTGTAATAATCAGCTATGACATTTTCGTCAAGATGATCTTTTTTCATATTGTCAAATTTATTCAAGTGAAATTGACATAGTTGTGGCTGGTCGAGTAAATTTTTAAATTTACTGTTTTTAAAGCATTTTTCAATAGAATAAGAATTTAATGTGATTCTTTTTAAATTTAAAATATTTTCAAGAAAATCATTTGAAGATGCGTCTTTATAATGTTCCTCGTCTATAACTAGAGATGAAGGTGAAGAGTTTCCTGATTTGTTTTCTTGAGATTGATATCTTTTGGCTATTTCATCTAATGCGCAAACAGCGCAATTGTTATGAATTTTTCTAATGATGCTGTCAACTCGATTCATTTTTTTATTTTTTTAAATAATATTTATTCTTTTTTGTTTTTTATACATGTTTAAAAATTTTAAAAAAAGAATGCGTTTCATTTTTATTAAACAATGTTGTTATTTTTTTTTTAGTTTTGGCTGTTGGATATTGAACACATTGCTAATGAGTATAAAAATAATCATGTTTGGGGTAGTAATTGTGTACGAGAGTTATGCCTACGTGAAATAAACGGCGATTTTTATTATCATGTTCAAGTGTGGCCGTGTGCTAATTTTGAATCAATTAATCAAAAATATCAAAATACTTTCAAATATTGTTTAAAATTTATACACGGTTTAGAATATTATCCCTCCATGGAAGCAAACTCTGATATTATATTTTGCTCAGATGTGATCAATGTTTTAGAAAATTATTTAAAAAAATATCCTTTAAATGTAGTATTTTATAAAGGAGGCGAAATGGAAATCAAGATCTTAAAAAATTTTCAAAATGTTAAATATTTTGATTTAAACAAACTGAAATTTCCTAAAGTAGAATTAATGGATTATTTTTACGACGAAATTCCATGCAACAGTCATTTTAAAAACGAATTGTTTACAAAATATCATTTGGATCATTGTGCCAAATACGAAACTAAAATGTTAAAAAATTATATAATTGATTTTATATACTATATTAAAGGTTGTAGCAAAAAAAGAGAAGAATATCAAGATTTGGTAAATTTAATACGAGAAAATAATCTATGTGAAGAACTAAACAAAACTAAATGTATTTGTTTTGATAATGTATTTTTAGTTAATTAAACGTATTATACAGTTAATATGAAAAAATAAAAAAAATGATTTGTTTTATTTTTAAAAACATTCCTTTGCGTTTATATAATACATATTAAAATGTTCAGCTTTATGAATAGGTTTATCGTTGATAATTTCTTGTTTAATGACATCGTAGAGTCGATTTTCTCGTCTAGTTAATATTTTCGAAATGGTAAAATTTCTTTTAAAAAAATAAAACCAATTGGCATAAGGAAACATTTCCATAATTGATTTCTCATAAAAATTACATTGATTAAACGATTTGTATATGTAAACTTTATCGTTCATAGTTTTTACTTTTTCAACTTTAAAATAGTTATAAATGGGTGTCGGTGTATAAAGAGTATAAAATCCGTTATGAAATAGTTTATCATTGTACGAAAATACTAATCTTTGTAAACAAGAAGGATACTCTTCCCGCAAAATTAAACTGTTACGCTTTAATAAATCATATTCGTATGAATGATTTTCGATTAAATGTGGAAACAAAAAATAATATTGTAATGATAATTTAATTTTATTTTTCCAAGAGGTGCATTTGTTGTCAATAGTGCTACGATAATATCTCTTGTATATTTTTATAAAATGATCAGTTTTGCGTTTCAACATTAAGTATCTCTTTGTAAAGTTGCTATCTTCTGTGTACACATTTTGTAATTCTTTGTTTTTTTCTGTACATCTTAAAAAATCAGTGTTGATTAATTTACAAAAATCATACATGTCTGATTTCCATTTAGATCCTTGTTCATGAAATTGAAAATAATTACGCGTAGTTTTTTCAAATAAATTTTGATGATTTTGATAATCTTTGATAATAAAAATAAAATACAAATCAATATATTCTTCTTTTGGTAATAACAGTTGTAAATTCCATTTAGTTAAATATTCGTTTATAATAATTTCCCAATCTTCATAGCTGTTTTCCAAATGGTGAAATTCTTGTAACATAGGATGAAGTTCGTTGTCTGGATAAAACAACTTTATTGCTTTTTCTAAAGTTTGTTCAACCTGCTTGCTAGTCATTTTATTTTTTGAAATGATATATAGAAAATTTTGATTTGTATTTATATTTTTTTACTAATCTATATGACTTCATATTAAAACCTTATAAGGAAATAAAAAACATGTTTTTTTATAATAACTGGTTTTTTTTTAAAAATTAAAAATAGAAATACATTTTTTTTAAAATTAAAAAAAAGTTTATTCGTCTTCATTTTTTTCGTCTTTAATTTCGTGTTGTTTTGATTTCTTATACTCTTTACTTTCTTGTGCAGCTAAATCTTGTGCAGCTCTTTTCATATTTTGATTAAAAGATCTTGATTGACCGCTTTTAAGTAAAGTATTAATCATAACAGGTTCCACAGAAGATTGTCTATCGTATTCTGTGTAATAAATTTCTTCGTCTTCTTTTAACATTCGTACGTTAAAAGTGCTAATAGGTTGTGATTTTAATACTTTGTGTTTGTTGTAAGCATAATTATATCCGCTGTTTTGTATTTCTTCAATTTTACCTAACATAGATTGTAAAAGTTTTTTATTTAATTTGGTTTGAGTTGTAATTAAAATAGCATTAAAAGTAATTTCCCCATCGCCTGTTTTATTTTTGAAATGGATATCTTCTTGGTTTAATTTCATTTCCGCTCTATACAAATAATTACATGCATTTTCTGCAAGGGAACATTGTTTTCGAATAGATGCTGGCAACAATATAACTTCTTCTTTGCTTAAGTTGGAATAAACCAATTCTTTTTTTAAAAAATTAAATTGTGCTACGGGTTTTACGGGAACTTTAGAATATTTATTTTCTTTTAAATCTTTTTCGTTTGCCAAATCAATATGCCATAATGTAGCAGCTGCCATATCACCGTATTTTAAATAATTTTGCAGATTGCAATAATTAACTTGAATTTCGTTCTCCATTTTATTGTATATATTTTTTTAACTGTTGTAAAGTTGTTGAATGATATAAAAATGAAATTTTTTTTTGTTTATATACTCTATTTTAACAATGGAGATTAAAAAAAAACAAGATCAAAACAAGTTTATATAAAAAATTGTCAACGTGTCATTTTAAGTTTTTATGATATCATATTTTGACTTTATAAGGGAATACAATAGAAAAAAAATGTTAATTGTTACTAAATATAGATTTTTATTGTGTTGTGTTCTGTATAAAAGGACCAAGTTTTTATTTTCAGAATCACTTCAAAGCAAGATGAGTTTAGAAAGGTTTAATAGTGTTAATAAAATGACAAATAATGATTATGTTAGTTCATATAGAAAAATGATTGAATTAAAAGAAGAATGTTCAGAATTAATAAAAAAGGAAAATTATCTTACTCAAGAAATAATCAATTTATTAATTGAAATTGAAAAAGAGAGAAAACTTTGTTTTAAACATATAAATAAAGATTTGTTGATTCGTTATTATAAAATATCAAAATATTTATGGAAAAATCTGGAATCAGGAAAGTCAATTTCAAAAGAAGAAGAAGCAAATTATTTACCATTAACAGAATTTGAAATAAAAAAATTGGATAAAGACGAATTAGCCTATTTTACATGTCAAAAATGTCAGAAGATAAATCCTAATTTCCACGATTGTTATTGGTGCGAAAAAAGAATGTGCTATTTATGTTTATTAAATCATTCACTACAAACAATGATAAAATTTGACACTAACATTTGTAAATTTAATTGTTAATTTGTAATATAATTATTTCTTGTATTTGTTTTTAGATTGGTAAAAAATGCCATATTTTTTGAATGATTATTGCGATTTTATTGAATCTTTGAATGGTTGTTATGATAATTGTTTTAGAATTTTAAATGCTAAAATATTTTGTAATTATTTATAGTAAATTGTAAAAAAAATTTGTATTTTTAGATTAGTAAAAATGAACAAAAGTAAAGATTTACAAGAAGCTTTGGATCATTTAACAGATTTAACATTATATAAATTAAGAACAAATAATTACAAAATGAACGATTCTTGTAGTATAATGAATGTAGATCAAGATGGTATTAAGATTGAAAGAGCTATTGAAAAAATTAAAAATGAAACAAATGTTAGAGAAGATTTGAAAAAAGAATTATACGACGCTCGTGATTATTTAGATTTATGTAAAACTATGAACGTTATGCTACAAAATAAGTTATGTCATTATGAACGAATGTTGCAAAATAATGAACAATTTATAAAATGTTATTATTGTCAAATTTATTATTTAAAAAATGATGTTTATTATTATCCTAACGATTTTTTTCATTGTTATTGTCCAACATGTAAACTATTATATGGTTGTTAATAAATTTTTAATATTTTTTTGTAGATGAAAACAGTAAAAATAATAGATTCTAAAGGATGGTCTTTATATGCTACCAAAGGAAGTGCTGCTTTTGAATTACGTAGTAGTGAACAAATAATATTATTACCGTTTCAACGCATGTTATTCTCTACTGGTGTTTTTATATCAAAAATGGATCATGATCTTCAAGGTTGGATTACATCCAAGTCAGGTTTAGCTTTAAATCATGGTGTTACAGTATTCAATTCGCCTGGAATTATCGATTCTGATTATAGAGACGAAATTTGTGTTATACTTTATAACTCTTCTATTGAAGCATATACTGTTACTATAGGACAATCTATTGCACAAATGACTTTTGTACCTGTTTTTTTTGCAGAAAGAATTTCATGGACTGTCGATAAAAATAAAAATAGTGAAATGGAAATACAATCGATGTTGTCTAATAATGAAAGAAAGGGAGGTTTTGGTTCTACAGGACTGTAATATTTTTTTTATATAATATTTTGTAGTCTAATATATTTTGTTTTGTCTAAGTTTATGTCTAATAAACCGAAAGGTTAATTAATTGTATTGTTTTCAACGTGTTTACACGTACTATAATGTTACTGTTTAGGTATTCTAATGGGGGGGTCCCTCTCCCTCCCCCCCGGGTGGTGGGTGGGGGGAGGCGGGGTGAGCGATTTCCCTCTCCCTCCCCCCCTCCCTCTCCCTTCCCCCTGGGGGGGTGGGGGTTCCTCCTTCCCTCTTCCCCTCTTTTTTTGCCTAAAAAAAATTTTTTTAGGCCCCTCCCCCCCTTTGTGAAGGAGAGTAGGGTCCAAAAAGGACTCAAATAAAAATACAATCTATGTTATCTGATAAAGAAAGAAAGGGAAGTTTTGGTTCAGCAGGACATTAATATTTTTTTATATAATTATTTTTGTAATTTATTTTTTAGATGCCTAGTAAATTTATTGAAATGATAGAGAAAGTTCTTAATAATATGGAGAATGGTGTCAATTTGATAAAAGATGTGGAAAATGCAACACTGACCGAGATGGACAATAATTGCAAATTTATTGTATTTAATGGTAATCAGTGTCAAAGTGAACAATGTAAAATGGATGACAATAAAACTGATTTTTGTTATCAAAAACAAGATGCAAGTGATAATGAAGAAATCAATGCAAGTGTTAAAGAAAATGAAGAATGTGTACACAGTGATTCAGATGACGAAATTCTTGAATGTGTACAAAGTGATTCAGGTGACGAATTTCTTGAATGTGTACAAAGTGATTCAGATGACGAAATTCTTCATGAAATATTTGATAAATATGATCAAATAACTATCAAAAAATCTAATTTAAAAGACGAATTAAAAAATTTAGAATTTAGAGTTAGTCAACTAGAAGATTTAGTGAAAAGAAGTGATGATGATAACGATGAAATGAATGAAAATTTAAGAATTCTTTTGTTATTAAAAGATTTAGATATTAGAGTAAGTTTTCTTGAAGAACCAAATGGTTTACCTGACGGTCAAAAGATCTTTGTAATTCAAGATATAGTAAAACGAATGAATATTAATTCGAATAATTATCGTTCTACTCTTTTTTCTGCACCGTTTTTTTATAAAAATTATAAAATGTCAATAAGAATTAATTTTAATATGGATCTTGAATATCATAATGAAATGATACATGGCGACTATATTGGCATATTTGTTGTTTTAATGCCACACATTTATGACGCTGTTTTAAAATGGCCGTTTAGTAGTAAAAAAGCAACAATATCATTATTGGGAGAGAAAAAATTTAAAAAATCGTTTATAACCGATGACGGTATTTATTATCAAAGACCTATTAAAGATCGAATTTTAGGATTCGGATTTGGAAGATTTATAAACAATACTGATCTTTTAAATTATATTGTAGAAGATTCTCTTTTTATTAAATGTAAAATTCATTAATTTTTTTTATATTTCATTTTTTTTAAAAAATTTGTACTTTTTTTTAGGTAACTAATAAAAAAAATGTTGTATAACATGATAGAAAAATTAAAAGAAAAAGATAAAGAGTTGGCTCATCAATGTGAAAAGTTGGACGATTATTTAAAAGGAATATACGTATATGAATATTATATGGATGATATACAAGAATTCAAATCTACTGTTTGTAATAATTTGAATAGCGATAAACATAATTACGCATATGATAAAAGTACTATCAATCTATATTTGAAAGTATGTACAAAGTTGATTATCAAGTGTAATAAATCTATTGATCGATTACAAGAGCAAATAAAAAAAGAAAAAGAATATCAAGAGGAAAGAAATGATGCGTTTATTGAATTTATAAAAGATAAAGACGATTGGCCTTGTTGTGCTAAAAAACAAAAATTCGAAAATTATGTTCATGAATTTTGCTACTTGACAAAAACAGAACTAGTTCAAAATTTAAAAATAAAAATACGTCACGAATTATTTAGTTTAATTAATAAAATAGAGTCGATATTAATTGCTGATTCTTAATTATTTTGTAATATGATTTTATAATAAAAAATTTTTTTTAGATGATAAAAGCAATTAGAAAAAATGTTAAAAATATGATAAAAGATGAACATATGGAAGATTTGCAACAGTTACAACTATTTGCTGTTAGCGAAAGTTTTGATTGCGATCAATACAAATGTGTTAAAAAAACTTTTGAAAAATTTGATAAAGATGTGGATATGATCAAATATGAACAAAATGAAATTGTTTTTAAACTTGAACTTTTACATTTATATACCAAGATTGTATTAGATTTGTATCATCAGTATACAATTTGTATACAATTTACAAAATGTGAAAAATTACTTGAAAAAAAGATAAATGTAATGAATAGAATAGGAAAATTTTTAAGGGAATTGTTACGTTATGATTTTGATAAATGTCGTTCATTATCTTATCTTTATTCTATTTGAAAATAATTTTTTAGATAACTAATAATAACAGATTTTATTTGTGAACCATCGAATCAAAAAAAACAAAAGTTAGAAGAAGATGAAGCTCAATTAGAACCGGAATTACTCAAAGAAATTCAAACTTTACAGCAATTGGCTGATATTGATGATGTTGACGTAATAATGTTATTGAAATCATCGACAGATTATGATGGTTTAATAAAAAATATTAAAATGAAGTATAATAATTTATTACTTGGTAGATGTTATTATGTGAGCACGTTAAAGCAAAAACGTATTTACGATTTACATCATAAATGTTTATTTGATTTATATCAAAAATTTAGTTTTTCTACTGCAAGATTACATCTTGAAATGAAAGAGTTAGGAGATATTTATTATTCGAAAAAAAAGTTACTTGTTGAAGAAAAATTTAAACACACTTTAGCATATAATAGACACCGTGTTATTTGTAAATTATATAAAATGTTGAGTAAATTTGATAAACAAGTTCGATATTTAAATGACGATTATATGAGTGATATACATTATTTAGGGGGTGATTTAAAATCTTTAGAAATTTGGTGAATTTTTTTTGAGCTTGTATAAAATATAAAGCTATGATTTTTTATTATATTGTATTGATAACTATATAAATGTAAAAAATATTTTTTTAGATGGAATTAACAGTAAAAATAGTAAATGAATTTATGAAAAAATTTTTATCACACAATGAAATTTTTCCGTTTACGTTGGAAGAATTGATTATTCAAGCTAAAGAATTTCAACCATTAATATGTGAAGAATGTGAATTACTGAATGTGAAATGTCATCTATATTATAAAATGTTTGATAACAATGAATGGAACATGTTGTTTCGATACGATTTTATGAGATCAGAAGATCGGTTGGTTGTTATGTTGACACAAGGATTTCAAAAACATTTGTTACATACAATAAATCGATTTTTACCACAAAACTTTAAAATATTTTATATTTTTTTAAAGATTACATAAATGTAGATGTTTTCGTTTCACACGTTAACCAATTGAACAATGAAAATAATAAAGTTATTAATGAAAGAAAATGTTATTATTGTAATAATCTTTATTAATTTGTAATTTTTTTTTCAGTTATAATGAATAGTAGAGAAAAACATAACAAAGATCTTAAAATAATTGGATTTTGTTTGTTTGGATCACAAATAAACACAGATGAGTATGTTGACGAATCAGTAATAAATTTAGATCATAAAAAAGCATACGAAAATTTAAAAGAAATTCTTTTTCAATATCAATATGCAGGTGAAAAACTTCGATATCAAATTAAAGCTAATTATTTTGTTTCAAGTTTGAAGGAAGTATTTTGGTCAGCTCAATCTTTATCAAGAGAGAAACGTAATACAATAATACAAACTCATTTGTTTGGATAAAAACTATGATTGAACTTTGTAATAAAGGAATAATATTATCAGAAGATAACATTAAAAATAATTTTTGTACTGAGAGTAAAAAAAGATTTTTGAAATTTAAAATTGAATTAAAAAATGATATGATAGAATGTTTAAATTTGTATACTTGTTGTTTTTATTGTAAATATAATAAAATATGTCAATATTGTATATGTTAAAAATTTTTTTTAGATGATAACAGAAGCTAAATTAAATAATATTTTGGAATTGTTAGAAATAGATGCCATTTCTCTTTCAATTAATATTTTTTTTAATGAATCTTGTTGTTTATATTTTTTTCGTATATCCTTATTTTATATTTTTTTATCTAAAAATAAATATATTAATATAACAAAAATTAATAAAAAACGAAGACGTTTTTTATTAATTTTTGTTATATTAATATATTTATTTTTAGATAAAAAAATATAAAATATGGATATACGAAGAAAATATCAACAACAAGATTCATTAAAAAAAATATTAATTGAAAAACAATGCAAAGAAGTTGAAAATGTATTATCGTCTACATTATGTGAAATGAGTGAAGAAATAGATTTGTTAATAAAATTATATAACGAAAGAAAAAATCGTAAAAAACATAAAATTATAATATTTGAACTGACAAATAATGAAATGATATCAATTGTGATGTGGTTTTATAAATTTTATATTTTATATATGTATTCTTAATTTTTTTGTAATTTTTTTTGTAATTTTAGACAGAAAAATAAAAAAATGACTTTATCAACTAAACAAAAATTGGCTTTTCAATGGTTTGACGAAGGATTAAATTTTTTTATTACTGGTAGTGCTGGTTGTGGTAAAAGTTATATACTTGATGCTATTGCTTCTAGCGATCAAATATTTAAAAATATTGCAGTAACAGCTAGTACAGGAAAAGCTGCTCATCAGATTAAAGGTATGACTGTGCACAGTTTTGCAGGTATTGAAATAGGTACAAAATCTGTCGATTATTATTACAAACACATGCAAGTAGATGTTTTAGAAAGATGGAGAAATACACATGTTTTGATTATTGATGAAATTTCAATGCTTAATGCAGAAACCTTTGATTTATTACATCATTTAGCATGTAAAATAAATCAATGCAATG